TTATCTTCCTCCCGCCTTGAACAATAGGCCCTGAACCTAGATGGTGCACTCTTCTCTGTGTTATACTCAAATTCACGTTTGATTGCATGCTGAGATAATGCAATCTTAAACTCTGCCATGCTAGGATATGTTGAGCCAACTACCATTGGAGGGTCTTCTTTATTGTATTCCCTGTTTGGAATATGTTTTGCCTCATGTCCTACCAACTCTTGGTCATCCTCTAAGTCAGTCCTTGACTCAATCTCCAATTCATCCTCATCCTCATCCTCATCCTCACTCTCAACCTTTTCTTAGTCCTGATCCTTATGCACAATCATAGCCATATTTCTATCTTCACAAGGTATCTTCTCTAAGTACATGACCTCATCATCAACACCTACATGCTCATTCTCTGGTACTGGGTTGCAAAGGTACCTATCCTCATCTTCTGCAACATTCTTGGCTGCAGCCTGCTTTTGCACATCACTATGCCACTCTTTGATGGGCTCAAATGGTTCAGAGGGATCACAGTAAGAAATGAACATGTCGACAACCTTTGTCTTTGAATTTTTCTCAAACATAGACAACAAATCTTGGTCGAGAATGAATTTGTGGAATTCTTTCATATCATGGTCATAGTAATCAAGATGAGCTACTTCTAAATAACTCAAGGGTACTTCTCTACAATCTCTTCAAGTAAATCCTTATAGTTTGTCAAATCTGAATCAATAGTCATATCAAAACAGAAACACCTAAAATCCTTTCTAACTTTCTTTTTGTTGCCAAACAGTCTAATTTCTAGCAAATATGTTGAATTTGGATCCATCCTGCAAATGAAAAGAACAATCTAAGGAATCAACACTGCTACTTGCACATCACTTTTGTAATCGCTTAGATGAATCAAGGCTAGCACTCACCCTTCAAGGAGCCAGTCCGGCTTTGTGCCAGCATTATCAGACCCTCCATGGCCCCCTAAATCCCGCCCGAGCGTGCTGCCTGGATTTTGAATACAAGTCAATGAAGCTTCAAGTTCATTTTGCTTTGTGCTCAGCACAGCACAAATACGTATAATATGAATGCCTAATCATGTGCTTATATATGCACAGCCAGAACGCAAATGTAATCAAATTAGTTCATTTGTATCTCATGGCCGGTAACTCTAGGGTAGAAGCAAAGATTCTATCTAGTAATAGAATACATTTCACTCTTCGGATCGAAAGCTAATCGACAACATGTATATGTTCTAGCTGTGTGAAAAGGAAAGGCAAATTACGTGGCAATTTCTTAGAGATCCTTAGTTGCAAAAAATGGGACACCTTTTTTATTTTAAGAAATACCACCTTGCCTCGGCTAGCACCATTCTCGCAGACTTTCGTAATTCTAAAAGCACTCATTACTAGTGTGGAAAACACAAGAATGAAAAGCGGCGTGCAAATAGGTACGCATTACTTGCAGACATAAATTTTGTGTCAAAGAAGCCGAGTGGCAACAATATATATGTGTTCTCAGACTTCAGAGTTCTAAAAGCAGTCATCACTAGCGTTTCTCTCATGACAGATAAGCAGAACAATATTTCAGACACAAGAATGTAGATGACAGGAGTTGCACGGGGCAACCAAGCACTTGTGTGACAATAGCTAAATCACTAGTGAGTGAGTTTGCAAAGCACTAGAATGAAGGCCAGTTTGAGCAAATGGGACTTAACACAAGAAAATGATAGTATTCAGTAAACACACTCTGCGTTTCAAAAGAAACTCAAGGGTAGAATCAAAGATTCAAATACAAGAATACATTCTACTGATCGATCAAGAAGCAAGCGAGTGGTGAAAATATCTCGTATGTTTTAGTTGCAAAAAAATAAAAGGCGATTACGTGTCGACGCCTTAGAGATCCTTGGTTGCAAAAAATAAGAGACATAGCCCTTCTTTTTAAGAAAAAGGTCACCTTGCTGGCGAAAGCAACGTTCTCAGACTTTTCGGATATCATTTAATTGAATAATCCATCCATCAATTGGCCGGAAATATATTTATTTTTTTGATCAAAAGAATATAAATAATGAACCAACAAAACAACAGAGGAATGTAGATGACATGAGTTGCACAGGCAACCAAAGTGACAATAGCTGAATCAGAGCAAATGAATTTGCAAAGCAAGATAATTAAAGGCAGTTGAGGAAATGTGTACCTGCTTTACACATGATAATGGCAGTATAGAGACATAAACTCTATGTTTCAAAAAGAAACTCTGTGGTAGAAGCAAAGATTCTATCCAGTGATATAATGCATTCAACTCTTCGAATCAGCAAGCTAACTGACATACATGATTTTTATGATGACTTTTGAAACATTCTAACATGGTATTCTAGTCTTTTAGCTAACGAGGGCGCCAGCCCCCCTGGGTGCCATATGATTTTTCCAACATATATATGTTCTAGCTATGAAAAAGGAAAGGCATATTAAGTGGCAATTTCTTAGAGATCCATAGTTGCAAAAGATGGGACACATTTTTTGTATTTTAAGAAAGACCACCTTGCCTGGCTAGCACCATTCCTAGACTTTCAGAGTTCTAAAAGCACCCATTACTAGTGTGCACACACAAGAATGAAAAGCAGTGTGCAAATAGGTACTTTGGACATAAATTCTGTTTCAAAAGAAAAGGTGTGGCTGAAGCAAAAATCGAAGTACTAGAATATGTTGAACTCATTGGATCAGCAAGCCAGAATGGCAACAATATATATGTGTTCTATTTGCAAAAGGAAAATGCAGATCATATTTCGATAGTGGCAACAATATATATGTGTTCTATTTGCAAAAAGAAAATGCAGATCATATTTCGATTTTAAGTCGAAAAAAAGGAGAGACGGTTTCTTTTTAGGGGGGAGACTGCCTGCCTGGCACCATTCTCAGACTTCAGAGTTCTAAAAGCAGTCATCACTAGCGTCTCTCATGACAGATAAGCAGGACAATATTTCCTATAGCACAAGAGGTGATAATGATATTGATCCACTTGGAACAGAATTCTACAGCCCATGAGCTGAAGGAAATGCAAAATAGCAATGCTGAAACTAATAAAGCATTGTGCAAATCCAGGAGAAGAGGTAAACAGAGGCATGCACACAAGAGTCCGCGTATCAGCTCACCCCAACTCACAGCATGAGAAGAAGAATTTGTGCAAAAGACAGTACCACCAGGGGGGCTCGCCGCCAGATCTCGCAACTGTGCTGGGGAGCTCGTGGGCCGCTGGCTGGGCGGGTGGGGGCTTGCTTGCAGCTTAACCACAAGAACCTGCTGGGAGCTCGTGGTCGGCCTGCTGCAAGAACCCGCTGGGGAGGCTTCGTGGTCGCTGGCCACTGCTGTGGCCGGGCATTGGGGCTTGTTGCATTTGTCACAAGAACTCATGGGGAGCTTCATGGCCAAGGCCTGGGCTCATTCAGTAGCACTTCTTGTGCGCCTGGGACCCGCCGCCCGCTAAGCCTCGAGTAAGCCCGCCGAGGAGCCACCGCCGGATCCACATCCTCCCCGCCGGATCTCCTTCCATCTCTGCTGCTGACGCCACCGCCACCGCCAGGAATCTCGCCGCTCGCCGCCGGATCGAGCCTGGGACAGACGCACGGGAGAGAGGACTGGGAACCGCACGCACGGGAGAGTCGACGGAGGCCAATTTTGACATAGTCAAAATATCTGACAGCGTGTCCCAGGCTCTCTGACGGAAGAAGCTAACGGTTCAGACGGTAGTGTCATATTAGGGATGAAAGTTCGTGAGTGTCAAATAAGGAACGAAGAAAATTTCAGGGCCAAAAAAGGAACGGCTCATTTTACCAGTGTCAAATAAGGAATTCTCTCCAATTTGGACTTCGCTTTGTGTGTGAACTTGCATGTATCCGTGAACCTTTGTGTGTGAACCTTTGTGTGTGAACTTTCATGTGAATTTGGACTCCTGTGAACTTGCATGTATATGTGAACCGTTTTGTGTTTGAAGTTAATGTGGTGCTGGTCTGTGAACTTGCTATATCATGTGTCATCATCATGCTGTGTAAATGTTGAAAAAATAGTTGTTAGAAATCATAAAGCATGCAGCTGCATGCCGGATTGCTGGTCCTGAGATCGATCGAGTTTGTGTTGCTGCAACTGCAAGCAGGCATGGAATGAAAAATGGGAAAAGGCCCGGCCGGCCACAAAAGCTACTTTCTCCACATGCCAGAGGTCACAGGACATGATCTACCATCCTATCGGCCGACTGGTTAGCTCAGCAAAAACATGTTGACAAAAAAAAAGAGAGCAGCCAGCGGCCAGATACGCTGCATGCATGCGTCCGTGCCTCTGCATGCGCCCAGCGCCCGTGCCTCTGCATGCGCCCAACGCCCACTGCATGCATGCGCCAGCACCAGGGGCAAAAAAGTCTTTTTAAGCACCACTTAACGCAGTTAGCTGATAGAGTTGACTGCGGTGTCATATTAAGGATGAAAGTTCAAGTGAGTGTCAAATAAGGAACGAAGAAAATTTCAAGATAAAAAAAAAGAACGGTTCATTTTTCCAGTGTCAAATAAGAAATTCTCTCTTGATTTTGGCAGATTCACAAAACACCTGCGTCCATTGCTTTAAAAAACGTAACTTCGAAAAGGTGCTCCAGCTCCTGACGGCTTCTGCGCCAAGAGCCGGAGCCTGCGAAACGGGCCTTAAAAAAAGCAGCATGAATGGCAAACATCTTTCTCTAACCATATATAACTACAATATACATTGATATGTCACTATTCTTTTTTTTTTGTATTTTTTTTTACAGAAGGTCCAGTTTAAATAGACCTGGAACATCTACAAAACACATTAGCACATCTCCACATGACAACCACAAAACTGGCAGCAATGCCCAATTATTGTACTCCAACATACGCTAGACATTCTGGTGCAGCTAGGTTAGATAACACAGCAGACAACATGCATGAAGTCAAACTTCTTTTACTCCACTTATGAGGTTGCACAGTGCCACAGTGGTGGAATAGGTTACATCATAGAATGAGAGGTACACTATTGACAGCAGCTGATCTCTCCTTCCTCGACATCAGCATTCTGGGAGGTTGACACGCTGTCCTCCATTTCATGTTCGACCTCTTCCTCGATATCTTTCTTCATGAATAGGCCAAGTGCCTCCAGTGGGCTCCCTAAGCCCTGTGGCAACTCAATCCCATGGACAAAGTCTACGATTAATTTGCTTGGAGGATCCAATTGCCACTTTTGGCACAAGTTCTCCAGGTCCTTCAGAAAGTCGCTGTTGTCAATATCAACAGTCTTCTTCATCTACACGCAAGGAGAACAGCGTGAATAACAATAATGGGGCATCAAGCATAGCATTTTTCAGGTAAGAAAATGGTGAGCAGGAAGTACCATGTGCAGTGCCAGCCGTGCAGCCTTTCTTTCCTGCTCGCGCTTCCTCCTCATCTCTTCCTCTAGTTTTAATTGTGCAGCAGCTTCAGCAGCCTTTACCTGGGCCTCAATTCTTGCTTTCTCTGAAATTTGAAAATGAAGCCATGTAAGGTCAACATTCACAGAACAGTGTGGACATAACTCTTGCCAAAATAGTTACAGAGTAGAGAAGTAACTAGCATAAGTAAAGCCGATAGGTAAATAGTGAAATAAATAACAGGAGTGAGAAAAAAAAGAAATGGCTCGATACACATATATGTAACATACTCCAATAAACCCCTTAAAACGCATTGTGCGCTTCACTGAGTTTGGAGAGGCATAAGCTATGCCCGGGACTATGGGAAGAAATCAACTAGCTGGAGCTAATGAAGGCATAAGGAAAGGTAAAAACAAGCATCCACACCAAATATAAGGTGAGCTAATAGTTTAAGGGATCAGGAGTCATGTTGATCAGCACATGAACTATGATCCAAATTGAAATTTCTTCTGAATCAATTTGAAATCTTGGAGTTTGCCAGAGTATTTTTTTAAAAAATGAAGTTTGCTGGCATCTAGGGTATAACAAATTGCCATGAACAGGAAATGGCAGGGATTGAAAGATAGCAATAAAAGTCTATTATTCTTTGCTTCCTTTGGTAAGGATCCATTATTGCTACTTGTCATAACTCATAATGAATGTTCATATAGCTGCCCTGACCTGCATCAGGCCACCATCTTGAATTTACACAAATGCAGTTAACAAGGTGTCTTAGCAAGCCTAGGACCATGAGGCTTCTTGAGTCTTGACACCTGTCTTTATTTAGACTGTGACACGTGTAACCTCTATGGCTCACCATTACAAAAGGAAAATCTTCATGTCCAGGCAAGAAAGAGAGATCTTAGAACTGAAAGGTTTCAGGCTTATGTTGTCCTGACGTGGAAAATGAGATGGCATTGGCCTCGTATGTCATGCTTCTCTCTTCTCTCTCTTCCACTATGACCCACCCTGTCATTTCTTTCTTCTCCCTTCTTCCTTCCCACAGTACCACTTTGTGGGCCTCCATGGCAACAGATGGATGTCTGTCTGCTCAAGCACCAAATCATGCACTGAGCGGGAAAGCGAGTAGGCAACACTCCAGATCTGGCAGCGTGGTGAATGTGGAACAGACAGCTTTTTGCAACGCGATTATGCGAGTGTGAAGGATGGGATAGACATGATGGGTAGAGACCAGGGGGGTACTTGGGGCAGCAACAAGCCCGAGTAAGTGTGAAAGAGACAATCGAGAGAATAAATACAGGAACAGTAAGTGTTATCATAGCGAAGGGCGGGCCTGGTGCAAGCGGTAGAGTCTTACCGCCTGTGACCGGAAGGTCCCGGGTTCGAGTCGCGGTCTCCTCGCATTGCACAGGCGAGGGTAAGGCTTGCCACTAACACCCTTCCCCAGACCCCGCACAGAACAGGAGCTCTCTGCACTGGGTACGCCCTTTTTTTTTTAAGTGTTATCATAGCCACACATAATGTGACCATGTCAGCGAAACGACTCCAAAACTAGCTTTGGGGGCCATTTAGATGAGTATTGAATAATCAGATGATAGATACCTAGTTTATACTCAAAGGGATTAAGCCACATCATTTTACCATGTCACTAAAATCACCTCCAAAACCAACCTTGAGGTCCTTCAGATAGTATTGGGGGTATTCGAGTGCCCGATAATACCTGAGGTTATACTCGAAAGGGGTAAGTAGACGAACCTTAATACCTGCCAGGGCTAATATCTTGTTGTTCACTTGTAAGCTACCAAACTTACTTCAAACAAGGTTTAATCGTTCTACTCGATAGCAAAAGAGACCACCTATTGAGCAAAGGCATCAAACAAGGTCACATGAGCACAAGTTTCATCAAATTCATGATCACTCTCTCTAAAAACCCCATGTGCAAGCCTTGTAACACCCAACAGTGTCATAAAAACATATCGACCTACTTACACGTGATGGGAGAAACACATGCAAGGTTCCTTAGCAGCAGCAACATTAGAAGCAGCAAGCTTTCATTCAAGGAGTTGCATATGTAGCACACGATAAGATGTGGTCTAAGAAATTATAAGGAAGGAAATAGCAACCATGAGTCCTAACTGACCAGCATAAGCATAATGGGGCAATTTTGAAACAGAGGCTCCTTGAGAGTTAGGAGTAGTAGGCTAGTAGGAACATGACATCACATCACAAAAGGTAAAAAGAGCAATGTCCATTATGTGATCAAGAGGAGGAGACGATTAATCACCTGCTTGTTTCCTGTGTGTTCTCGTGCCAAGTTTGGTTCATTGTCTTCCAGCAATTTGGACTGCAGTGTCTTGCCCCACAACCTGGGGACCTGCTATTTGATGAGTGGTGGGAACAGGTGAACACTAGGGTGACTGATCTTGTAAAGCAAGGCCTGAACTCCTTGGTTATCCTGGTGGCTTGGGCCATCTGGAATCACAGGAACCGCTGTGTGTTTGATGGACAGCAACCTGAGCTGTATGGGTTGCTCCGTTCTATCAGGGTTGATCTATACATGTGGGATATGGCTGGGGCTCGAGGCATTTCTCAACTCCTCGCCCTGCAGCCTCCTAGTTGATCTTTTTTTCCTGGTCATGGGTAGTTCCTGGATGTAATAGGTGATCTAGCGTGTGTGTTTTTGTTGGAGTAACCAGTGTACTACCTGGGTGCTTTACCCTTTTTTCTTCTTAATATATTGATACGCAGCTCTCCTGCGTGTTCGAGAAAAAAAAGAAACAGACGATAAAGGACTACAGGAAAGAGAAGATGAAGAATGGCTCATGACAAGGAGACGTACAAGGAGTAAAAAATTGTGGGAATCATGATCTACAATGGTGCAAATAGAATGGATGAGCTGCATAGCAAGTATAGGCACAAGAAAAAGAGAGGCCAAAAACATACTACATTGAGGATCTACCAAGGACAGACAATTTTTCACAAACTCAGTGAAATGAGGAAGTCGTAGAGGTGAGAGCATCTCTAGCTTCACAACTTTAAAGGCAAAACACACACAAGTGTGCACCATGACCAATAAAGACAAAGCTATGCCACATGACAATCGGTTACCCAGATAACTCCTGAGTCCTGAAGAAAGAAACTATTTAAGAAGGGGTGCCACATGCACTAAAAGCAAAGGGCATCACTTCATGGAATCTGGAGCTTGTAGTGGAACGGGTAATCTATATCTATGTCTATATCTACATCCACATATCTTATAAAAACAAACCTCACTAGCTTTCTCTCACACCACACAAGCTATCCACGTCATCTCCACTAAAATGCTGAATCACCCCCAACCAGCTTTCTATCTCAACATGCAAGCTAACCACATCATCCCCACTAAATGTCATATTATGTCTCACTAATTTTCAATCTTTTCATGCAAGCTATCCATAGCATCTCCCACTATGTGTTTCTATTTCCAATCTCTAAAAAATACAAGGCATCCAAATAATGCCGTTTGTTTTGACGTTCCATCATCTTATAAGCTTTATTATCTCCACATGCAAGCTATTCACCTCATCCCCCACTAAATGCCATATCATTTTCCCACTAGCTTTCAATCTCAACATGCAAGCTATCAACATCATCCCCACTAAGAGCAACTCCAGCAGGAGTCCCCAAATCAGGGCCCCAACTTTTGATTTGAGGAGTCCCCAAATCAGGGCCCCTACTTTTGATTTGAGGGTTCCCCCTACTCTTGAGGGTTTTTTTGTTTTCCATCTACTCCAGCAGCCCTCAAATCCATTCCAGTAGACACTGGCATATGGAACCCACTCGTCCTTTGACCATATCTACCATGCCACCATGGGTACGAGAGAGGAGGGGGAGGAGCACCAGAGATGGCATGGTGAGGGCAAGGAGCATCGAAGACCGCATGGGGAGGGGAGCCACGGCGGGGTCAACTGCCTCCGGCGATGGGACAAGCAACGGGAGGTGAGCCGCGCTAGGCTGAGGAGCTTCACCGGGGAGGGAAATAGGGCGGCGGCGCAAGAGTCAGGACAAAAAGAGACACTGGAAAAAAAATCCTAAGTAGGGAGCTCCTATGCACCCTGGGAGATTAGACTGAGAGAAGAGATTTGGAGGCCTCCATAAAGTAGGGACTTGAGTTGGGAGTTAGGGCCCTGTTGCTCTGGCACCAAAAAAGTAGAGTAGAAGCCCTGTTTAGGGTCCCTGTTGGAGATGCTCTAAACACATCTCCCACTACCTTTCAATCTCTTCATGCAAGCTATCCATGTCATCCTCCATATGTGTTACTATTTTCAATCTATCAATCAAAAAATATAAGGCACACAAATAATGCTATTTGTTTTGTTGTTCCATCAACTTATAATTTGATCTAATATTCTATTATTTTTTGGTTGGATTCTTTCATTACCTTTCCCAATTTTGACCAGAACCGATACAATAACATGGGTCCAACTCATACATGCAATGGCTTTAGTTCTAAGAAAGTCTCATAAACAAGCGAGGTATCCTTCTAGTTTTCCAAATTGTCGCCTCATGCAATACCACATATGATTTGTTATGATGTGGAGAGAGGGATGTGAGATAAACATGTCATTTCACGAAGCAACAATTTGATAAGTTAAATTTTATGACTACGGGATTATTCCAGCATCTTGTACCAATTGTCATTAAAATGCCACACCCTTTTTCTCTGCACAAATTAAGGATTACATAGTACTCCCTCCGTCCAGGAAAGTGCAATTCTAGCATAGTACCAAGTCAAATAATTTTGAGTTTGAAAAGTTTATACAAAAGTATCAATATTTTATTTTATGATACCAAATAAGTGTCATTAGATTTATCATTAACTAGATTTTCATAGTATACATATTTGTGTTGTAAATGTTGATATTTTTTCTATAATCTCGGTCAAATTTTAGAAAGTTTGACCAAGGATAGAACTAGAATTGCATCCTTTTCTGGACAGAGGTAGTCCAATATTACATGCCAATATGGTATGGCATGAAGAAGTGGTAAAATGGCAGTGCACTAGCTAAGCAGAACATGATAGGCAAGACTGGATGAAGGTTGGTCATCCATTGCGATACTCCAATTGGGGTGACAGTCACTGTTGTGTGCTTTCATCACGAAGTTCAACATTACAAGGTACCTACATTTGTTCACTTAGTTGGTGATAACCACCAAACAAGTTGACAGGTCTATCCATTCTGACAAAGGCATATGAAGAATTGAAGATGATTCTCAAAGTTCATCGACACAACCAGTGCCTATGAACACAATCATATGTACTCTAGCAATACATGTAGGATCACCCATTCAACACCTCTTGCAGCTTGCTTTATTCTCATCAAGTTCTGCTCGTGTTTCTTACAGTAGATATGGAGCTACAAATCTATAATCGAGGATCTTTTCCGATCTTTGTACTCTGGTTTCAATGATCAATCTACTTGAATTCTCAAAGAAAAAAAGAAGAGGTACTAGCATGAGAGCGTTCAGGCAGCTATTGGCTCACCTAGAGATAGCAATGGGCCACGTTTCCTGATTCCCCATGGGGGATTCCCCTATTAGAGCAAGGCTAACAATACAACCTTCAGCTCACTGTATGGATCCTTACAGCCCATTTATTAGCCAACTCATATAGTAGTTGGTTTACTTATAGCCCATCCCTTCCTCTCACACAGTTTCTTGGTTCCTGTGCTTCAGCTGGCTGCAAACCGACAGCCCACCTTTCTTCTCTCTCCTCCTTTCACCTCAGCATACAGCCTACTAACAGCCTTCTATTATACTTGCTCTCAGGGGACGGGGATGGTTGTAATTTCATCCCCACGGGGATATTAACAGGGAGAAAGTTTCCCCCGTCGGGTATCATGGAGACGGGGACGGTTCCCTATTCCCCGTCCCCATTCCCCACGTAGTATGTAATTTCTATGAATTGGCCCAAGTAAACATCTATAGTGTTCCCCACTAACTAATACTCCTCCGTCCCAGAAAGAATGAAATTTTAGATCAGTGCTACGTTAAATTATGTCAAGTTTGACCAAATATATATAAAAAATACTAATATTTATCGCACTAAATAGATAACATTAGATTCATCATGAAACATATTTTCATAATATACTTATTCGGCGTCATAAACATTAATATTTTTTCCTATATATTTGGTCAAATTTTAGGCACATAAACCGAGAATGCATCTAAAATTGAATTCTTTTTGGGACGGAGGTACTAGGCCCATCCAGCCACTAAGCCCTAACAAGCTAACTGCTACCCTTCGAGTAGGTACCGAAGCTCACCAATTTGACCAAAAATTCCAAAATAACACACGCCACCGCTGCCGGAATGATTTTCGCTCCCAGGTAGGTGCAACTTCCTGCCAATCTGCCCCTCTCGCAATACCACTGCTTGAACCTCATAGGTTCCTCCTAGATCCACCCCTCGCCTTGCATCTTCTCGGCGCAGAGGCACCAGAGCACGGGGGGCGCTGGGGTGGTGGCACGCGGTTGCCCATGTCGTCATCAAGCTGAAGACCGTCCCATTCAATTGCAACAAATCCATGGAGGGTGACGATGGGCTTCCAAGCTAGCGGGTTGCTGCTTGGCTGCCCACTGAGCGGCTTGGGTGCCGATGAAAGGTGAACTCCCCTGGCCTCCTATGGTGATTGAGTGTTTCATAGTCATGGGGACGGGGACCCTGTCGGGCACAAATAATCGGGCGGGGGCGGGGATAGGGAGGGAACTCTCCTACCAGCTTTAACGGGGACGAGGACGGGGAAATTTTACCTCCGCTGGGACGAGGATGGCGACTCATTCCCCGACGGGGAATTCCCTGTTGCCATCTCTAGGTTCACCAAAGTCAACAAGCACAGGATCATCACATATAAAAGATAGCATCTTGGCTAATCAAAACGGTAGAAATGATTGTCTGAGGTCATTAACTGTCTAAGGTGCAGCAACAGCACCAATCAAGCAAGGCACTATTCCTGACAGTGAATGAGCAACAAAGAATAAAAGATCGGTGGAAGCTGTTCGGCTGATGGTTTTTGCGACTGATAAGCCGGCTGATGTTGTTTTGTTGTGAGAGAAAAACACTGTACCATGGCTGATAAGCCAGGCTGATACGTTCAAGCGAACAGGGAGATAGGGATGGAGAGAAATTTTGGGTTCAAGCCCAATCCAATCGCCCAGTTTATAGGAACTGAGCTTAGTTCAACTGTGCGGGTGCACACATCAACACGTACATCTGAGTTCTCTTTACCTTGCATCTGGGTGCCATTTTCTTCTTATTTGCAAAGCCACCTAATTCCTCCAGGTTTGTCAAACTATTTTAAACATATACCAGGGCAAGAAAAGGCATAAATGCCCCCAATATAGTATACATGCATCTAACAAAATCTTAATGAACACTACACAAACCTAAACCGACAAGATAGATACTTCCAAAAAAAATTCCCACAGTTTTGAAGAGGAATTCATGTCACCCATAATATACTTAGGACTTGTAACTCATTAGCATTCACAAACGAATAGCGATAGCTTCAGGAGTGAAAGGTTCTATACCTTCACAAACTGGCAAAGCCCTAACTACATTAATAACCATTAAGTAAAGGCCAAATAAAGTATTCCTAACAAATTGGCAGTGAAATTTCATTAATATAAAGTGTTAACCGCCAACAAAAAACTCTCCAAATTAACCATTTCAAAAAATCCCCCCCATAAGCTCACCTCTCTATCTATCACGTTCACCTTCTTAAGCAAAAAGCTATATCACTCTAACATGCCACGTGATATGGATTTGGTTGGGATAGTATGAAGAATCGGCTAGTCACCCTCCACTTAGAGTATCTGATTGCTTTTAGGGTTCTTCTCTCTCTTCTCTTTTATATATGACTTATATCACCCCTAAGCAAAAATCCTAAATGAATCAATCTATTTAATTATCTCTTTCCTAACAAACCAACTAACCTAATATATTCCTTGGTATTGTTACGTGTATCATTAGACGTCTTGCCGTACTGGTGGGCGAGGCCTAGGGCTGGTCCACTACTATCACGAGTAACTAATCTCAAACCAGGTCCTGTTGATAGCACTAATCGCGAAGAGATTGCTAAAATAACCTATGGTACTTCAGTTGCAAACCAAGCAATGATTAAGCTGATTGCTGCCAGTAGCTAGAGAAAGTTGGGTCAAAATAAATCTATGTATAATCTATTTTATGCTTTTTTCGAGAATGCTGCCACTCGGACTCGAACCGAGACGCATGAGCACTGCTTTCTACAAGCAGCGTGTCTACCATTTTCACCATGGCAGCTGACTCGAAATAAGAGGTAACTTTAAAGAAGGTAAATGTTATTTTCTCAAGAAAATGGTCAAGATTGGAGATTCATTAGAATTTAGGAACATCATCGCTTAGCCTATATATCCAATACATACATAGCTCCAGACTATTCTAGACTTTTTTTTTCTAAAATCTAAGATGCTATAATGCCATTTCTTTAAGTAACAAGCTCCTTTTAGCAACTCCATAACCATAAATACTAAGATTGCTTCCATGAACAATAAACTGGACTCAAGTATCTTAGAGATTTTTTTGTGGGGTGGGGGATCGGTCCGAATTGACAAAGTTGTTAAGAGGCCCCTCTATCAGCTCCCGCCCATGATAAATCCTGCATCATGATACTACATATCGTACCTGCGCTTGGCACTATATTGAACACTGGGCACACATGGCACTTAGGGCCCTGGTTTAATAGGCAAGAATTTGGTCTAATCCCTCAAACTGGCATAAAAGAGTGTTTGTTTTCCTTCATAATCCAAAGGGGGAACCCATCTATCCACACAAACACGCACTGTTGGGATCATTGTTTACACATAACTTTTAGGGTGTTTGGTTTGAAGAATCACTCCATCCTAGATGAGGTACCGGTGGTGCATCATGGGTCCATTCCTCAAATTTGGTGCAATTCCATTCCTCAAACTAGTACTACTTATTAGTTTGTGAGGAATGAGGTGATGATGGATCAACCCATTCCATTCCACAACCACAAAAAGTGAGGAATGAGTAGATGATGGACTCACTCATTCCTCAAACCAAACACCCTATTTATGAAGCAAGAGATGTAATGCAAAGTTTGGGGCACTGAGTAGCACAGCAGGTTCACCAACAAGTAACTCTCCCATTTTTTTTTAAAAAGAACAGTACTAGTGAGAGCTCTTCGTCATGAAAACTAAGGCAAAGTTGAAATGGACAAACTTGGCAGAGGCAATTAAACAGAAAAGCACACACAGCATCAGAAAATTGGGGCGAGTTCCTACCTTCTTGCTGCCTTTTTTCCAGCCTCTCTTTTTCCAACTGCAACTTTGCAAGGTCTATTTCCTTACCCTAGAAAAATAAAAACAGCATTCAGTAAGAGATATACAAGGTTGTCTTCTCAAAAGGAATAGCTTTCAGTATCCATCTCGCAAGAAAAAAAAAATGTATGTAACCAGAAATATTACATGATCCAGAAGTGCATTTTGTTGTGCCTTCACGATTGTTCCAGCAAAACGCCTCTTGAGCATTGCTATACGGAGGGCTTTACTAGGCGACAAAGGTTCAATGTGTAAATAACTTTCCTCCCCTAGAAGACATCAGTACATCATAAGATCCACTACATTAGCAAACTATGTCTGGAAAATAGTACCTTAAATTCCTAGATGTTATAACTATAAAGTAAGAATGTATAACTTAAACATAAGCAGGCACTCAAATATATGATGATGACTACCTTGCTCAGAGGAAATAGGAGGTGAAGTAGAATTGCAAGACAGTGACTCGTTTCCTAAGGTCGCAAGCAAAGCTTGTTAGCTAATTGATAACATGATATGGCATCATAAAATTAGGTTGAAATCATCAACATACCATTTGATAAATTGCTGTTCTCATTTGATTGTATGATTGATATTTTATCCTCCTGAAGATAGAATTATAGAAGATATTGCATAAGAGGGATAATGTACAATCAGCTACTGGTGACACTAGCAGATCAAGATAATTACAAGTAAGAAAAAGGAATTCTAGCCCAAACCTTTGTGCAAGAGAGTGAATTATCTAAAGAGCACTCTTGACTACCAGCTGCATGGAAGGACAAAAAAGAAAGAAAGAGCAAACCATTAACAATCCTCGAGTAGACAGGCTATGGTGACAATCAAATCATCCAATCAAACCTTTGAGAGGGGTATTATCAGACCCTCGCACAAAAAATCTAATTTTTACCTGTGCAAACAGCAGATAGCAATACATTAAAACGATATTGTCATAAAAAAGAATCATAGAGCAAAAAGGCATATGATTATCCTACTTTGGAGGACATTGCATTTATTGATTGCTCCTTTGCTAGTGAATTTGAGCATGTGACCGACCCTCTAGGGATTGCAGACTTCAAGTTTATGGCAGCTTGAGCCTTTACTGCCTTCATTGGTGGTTGTTCTTGTATTTGGTTCCTGCCGCTCCATTTTCTTACCACTGATCTCCATTCTGAGTCAAATATTCTATTCAACTGTTCAGCAACTGCATGGACATCATTTCCTGGAGGATTATACTTCATTGCATTTGAGAATGTAAGCCTCACATCTGCTGCAAATTCACTGGCTGTAACATATTGCTTGTTTGTGAGTTTCTTCTTAACAGTGCCCAAGTCCATTGGGTTGCAGATAACATCAAAGTAATCAGGAATCCCATAAAGAATAGGGTCAACTGGTTTATGAAAAAGCCAACCACCTTTGTGATCCATGAGCTTCTTCAGAATTTTCCCACACAGCCTTGTCTTGCTAACATTCATGATTTCAGCCATGTTCTTACAGAGTGACTGGTGCTCAAATATAGAATATGATGTCACCTCAGTTTATTTTTCGAGTGTTTACTTCTCTGAACCTCAGAATCTGTACTACGGCAGACTGATTCACGTCTTATACAAACTGCCTTCCTCGTTTCACTCTTGCGATCTTGGCATACCTGGTAAGAATCTTTCTGGTTTTGATAGAGGACCATTAACTTCAGACTTCTCAATACCTCTCAGACAGCCACACAACGCGCCAGGGCTGGAAACACAAGATTCATATAGAAGAATATATAACATGCACAAAAAGAAGGTAGGTCCAAAAAAGGAAAAACAGCAGAACCACAACAGAAATTGCTTATGCAATTCATTTTAAACAGCTGTTGTTTCACATAACTTTTGACAGAGTGACAGTAAAAATTGCATGGCAACAACTATACTGCCCATGCAGTGACCAGCCAAATGATACAGAACAATAGGATATAAGCGTTTTTGTCTTGCACATTTCATTGAAACAGCTTGTCAATACTCCCAATAGGATATTTAATACTTCTAAGCAATGATCATACTTCATATATGGTTTTCAAAGAGTGGAAGTCCATATGCCACCTTATTTCCTTCGTTTCCATCATGTTGCTAAGTATATATTAAATTTACTTAACATGGGAGTGGTAGCAATCTAAAAGTGGTCCATGCACGATGTTAAACATTTTTTCAAAAGAGAATTCCCATACCTGAACTCCAAACAAGAACTCCTTATCCCCAAAAGGGGAAACATAGTAGCATTCTTATGTTCAAAACAGGTTTTCCAGTTTAGAATAAGTTCTAACACCATGATGTCCATGAACAATGATCATGTGAACTAAGGATCAAGATAGCCAGCACAAATGGCATGCTTCAAGGGCTCATGGCTGTTTTCTCCGAAGCATGCGTCACATGCTATGCACCCTTTTTGCAGTAGCCACACACAATATATCAACTAGCACTATGAAGCACAATCTCTTTTCATTATCTGGCATGCCTTCTTTCGGCGGTATGGTTTATACCATGTAAATCTAAGTTCCATATGGTAACTTTCGAGATTATATTGTATGTCGCCAATACCAACAATGCATAGAGTGTTCAAATATTTTTGTTTCACATAGTAGTAGCATTATTACAATGGTCCAATATTCCATTGGAACTACCACACCGAGTCACCATAAGTGAAACTACCCACGCAGGAGGACCATGCAAAACAAAAGCATGTCTAATGGTCTTTTGCATTGAAGGTGACCAACGGTTAAACAACCAAATTCTGTTTTTTTTTCATTTTCCACATCAATTTCTGCGATTTGTGCCAGGGACTACCCACAGATCAATCAAGGAACCAAGTAGCATGGCGATTCACATGAACATAACTACAAGGCCAAACCATCACACAAGAAACCACAGGCATGGGCATGCAGTCACCTAAACCTAGCTCGATAAGCCCAATTTCCACCTGTCGGCTGTGGCACATACCACCTCATACAACGAACACAAATCCTACAAGCCCCAATTAAGCCTAACTGCCTATCGCCCAATTATTAAATCCAATCGACGGAAAGCGTGCAGCAGCTCGAAGCAAAGCCCATGGAAGCTTTAAAACCCTAGGGGCAGGGTCAATCGACCCCGCGACAGCGCCTATGGTCCCCTCACGATTGGGGCAAGGAGAGAAGAACCAACCTGGTGCCCGCTCTGCCGTCCCAGAGAGCACGGGCTGCCGGACGAGGCCTGCCCGAATCCTCAGCCCCCGTGGGGTCGGGCGGCCCCTCCCTCCTTCTTCGCGTACCCACGACCCCCACAAATCCCACAGAGGCGCGGGGTAAGTCGTAGATACGCCGCCCCAGCAGCAGCAGCTCCGCTGCCGCAGGTCCGGCTTGATCTTCACCGGCGAGCGAGCAGCGGCGGGGAAGGAGAGGGAAGGGGGAAGGGGAACATGGGGCTGCGGAGGCTAGGGGTTTTAAGAGCGTCTCCACGGGTCCTCCGATACAACTCCCAAAAAAATGGTATTACCTAATATCACTCTCTACATTTATTAGGCTAAAAAGATAGTATTGGATTATTCAATATCACTTTCTAATTTATTCGATGAGATGCTGCAGTAGTATCTAATAATTTTTTCAATACATATATGAAAGGTGGATATCACGAGAGTTTAAGAGAAAATATGGCTCAAAAATAGTAGTTGGGATGATCCCATAGTATTAAGAGAAGGAAGACGAAGGAAAAATTAGTGAGAAAAAGAGAAGCATTAAAAAACTGCTGGAGCAATAAAAATATAATAATTTTATGAGAATAGGAGAGGTATCGGGAAATGCTGCCGGAGATGCTCTAACTCGGGCTCGTGCGACGCGAACCAGAGACGACACGGCGCCTCCCCCCTCCGGGTTGGACTGGACCCGGTCCTTCACCTTCACTCGAGCGGCTTCTCACTGAAATATGGATCCCACCCGCATCTAAGTCTCTGGGCCCCCGTGGCAGCCAGTGGAAGAGCTCCTCTCATCGCTCAATTAACAGCCGCTCTTCTGACTCCCACGGTTGCATCCATCTCCAAGTGGACCAAGTCCCACCGGGGAAGTGGGATTGGAGACGACCAGCGCCACCGGAGGCGAAGGCGGAGGCGGCGAGGCGCGCGGCGCGCCCTCGGATACCTCGCCGGTGAGTGAGCAGTCTCTGCCGCCGCTGCCCCCTCGTCGTCATTGTCCTTGCCCCGTATCATTGGTGGATTCGATCTGGACCTCAAGCCCAGATCCGGGCTAACCTTTCGCTCCTCGGTTGGTGATTCTTGGTTGATGGATTGATTGGTGCACGGATTTCACTCCCCTAAGGAACCCTGGTTTTCGAGACGCTTGTATTTCGTGTGGCGATATCTGGCCTTGGTAGGAATGTAGGGCTAGTCCCGTTTGGAAGATGCTGCGAAATGCTGTGCAAAATTAGGGTGCATGTACTGCATGAAGCACTGTGTGCGTTTACTGGGCAGTTATATCTGCCTGATTTTATGTAGCTCTGGTTGGTATGTGGTAGACCCGTAGCATTGAGTGTGTTGGAGGCTTGGAGCTGATATGTGTCCGTGTGCACTTGGACTATTTCACTGGTGACAATCAGAAGGTGGAGTTTCTTTCAAGACGAATAGTTTTCTTTAAAAAAAGATGGTTAAACATGTCCTGAATACAATAAGTGATTAGAGTAATAGTGTTATGTGTCCGTGTGCACTTGGACTGTTTCATTGGTGACAATCAGAAGGTGGAGTTTCTTTCAAGACGAATAGTTTTTTAAAAAAAAAGATGGTTAAACATGTCCTGAATACAATAAGTGATTTAGAGTAATAGCGATTCTGTTAGAAGTTGTTACATGTATATAACATTTTTTTTGTTGTATATGTATAAGGGAGTTACAATGTGCAGTTCATACTAAATCATTGATCTCCTAAGGGCGAAACCACTAAACTATCTGGTTTAGTTTTTTTAAGACCACAACTATTAGATTCTTAGATTTTGGAAAAGAGTAAAAATAAAAGAATGAGGGGATTGAAGAAAAGAAAAAACAATGAATACACACCATGACAGCATGCATCTTTTTATCCATTGTTCATTTTTTCATGTGTAAATGTTGATGCTGCCATCTTAGATCTTACAGCTGCAGTCTTGTTTCTCAGGACAAAATGGACCTTGCACCTCAGGGTTTGATAACACTGCAACAAAAGGCAAATGACCGAAGGCCAGTTGGTAGCTCACAAATTTGGACAGTATGTAGCTTTCGCATTCCTTGTTCCTTTTATTACTTGGGCATCTTAAACAAAATACATACTGAGATAATGAAAATTTTGTAGCGGTATGGTGTTCTGCTTCCAAGCCAGCAGACTCGAAAGCTAAAAGAATGGGTTCTGACTGATGAGCAGCAACAGCTTGTTAATGCTAGTGGTCTTGGACATCTGGCACTTACCACCGGGTTTACCATTGATCGAACTTTGCTTACATCATTTTGTGAAAGATGGAACAATGAAACAAATACTGCACATTTCATGGGATTTGAGATGGCACCATCACTTCGCGATGTTTCCTACATTCTCGGCATTCCAGTGACTGGTCATGTGGTGACCGCAGAGCCAATTGGTGATGAAGCTGTGAAGCGGATGTGCTTGCATTATTTAGGAGAGAGCCCTGGAAATGGAGAGCAATTGTGTGGCTTAATTAGGTTGACTTGGTTGTATAGGAATTTTCATCAACTGCCGGAAAATCCGACCATCAATGACATTGCATATAGCACCCGAGCTTACCTTCTATACCTGGTTGGTTCCACCTTGTTTCCTGACACCATGAGGGGATTTGTATCCCCAAGATATCTACCACTGTTGGGAGATTTTAGGAAGATCCGTGAGTATGCTTGGGGGACTGCAGCCCTTGCTCATTTGTACAGGGGATTGTCTGTTGCAGTGACACCTAATGCCACAACTCAGTTTCTCGGCAGTGCAACTTTGCTCATGGTGTGCTCTTTATCTGAATAAGTTCAGGTTATTATCTATGGTATTGTATTATCTGCTTAACTAATCAGGGCTTTCCCTTATTCCCACAAGGCCTGGATTTATGAGTACCTTCCTATTACTCAACCACAACAGAAGAACCAGAGCACTTTGCTGCCCCGGGCTTGTCGGTGGAACTTTGGAGGAGCAACACGTGGACAGAGGAAAAAAGTCATGGAGTGGAGAAAAGTTTTTGAACAACTTCAATTTTCTGAGGCCAGTCCAAAATTACCTACTTATAAATGTGTGCCAATTTTTCAACTGTTATATCATATATATACTATCCCAATTATGTTTTCAGGTCAATTGGAACCCTTACAAGGACATAAATCCAGCAATTGTTCCGGAATATTGCATTGCAGCAGATAACATCTGTTACTCTCGGACTTGGCTAATCAGCTTTAACATAAAGGAGGTGTATGTGCCTGACAGGTTTGCTAGGCAGTTTGGAAGGGAACAAGGACGCCTCCATGGCGTGCCAATGTGGGCAAGAAGAACTTGGAGTAAGTGGAAAGACTGGAGAGCTGAGTATGCTCGTGAGATTGAGGAGTTTCATCAATTGGTTGGCTGCCGTTTCACCCCTCCTGCGGAAACCAATATCAACTCCCTTCCACTACATGAGTCTAGTGCTGGACAGAATGATGCAGGATGCAGTCTGAATACCTCTCATAATTTTTCTACAATGGTAAGCCCTTAATAGAAAGCTAATTATCCATATTCCATACCTTTTGCCTATAGTTTGGCCCTTGGTGTGCTTATGCTTGTGACTTGTAGGTTGAAGATTTGAAAAATGATCTCCCAGTAATTGGTCGATATCTTGAGGGAAACTTGCTTCCTTCAGAGGTTTCAAGCTTCCTAGAGAGGGTGGGCACGATGATCAAGAGCTACTCCCCACCACAGAGCAGCCGAAGGAAAGATCGAGTAGCTCATGGCCACATTGGCCCAGTCAAGTCAAAGAACCCAAGGAAAAGAGGGAAACCTTCACTCTTTCAAGATCCTTTAAGTCCTCATCGGTACCCAGGCACCCCAGTACCTTATCAGGCTAGCAAGTGTGGCATGGTGTTTGGTGGCACCGTTCCTCTACTAAATGGGGGTGAGGCACTCAAGGAACAAGAGGCCATGGATCCCTGGCAGATCTCCCAGTCTCATTTGACAATGACCACATCTTCTTCATCTCTAGACTCAAGCTCACCAGAATCAATGAAGCGAAGTCGGGAAGGTGGGGATGAAATTCAAATCCCAAGGGACACTGATTGCCTCCGAAGAAGTGGAAGGCTCTGTGTGCAGCTGAAAATGTTCAAGCACAGAGATGGAGTGGGTGCCGAGGCAGCTAATCCGATTTTCCTCTGATGAAGACAAACGTCTCTTGATCTTCATATTGTACAAAGTAGCGAAGAAACTTGGATTGTTTGCTGCACTGCTGACAGTTAGCTGGCCACCAGCACTGTGCAGTGATATTGCTGTCTGTGCAATTTGCGAGGATTTTCCTGTGTTTATATATTGCATCCTGTATGACCAATGGCAGACGCCGCAGACTTTAGCCTAAAGTCTGGACAATGACCTCCCTAGATAAATCTGCAGCCGTGCAAATTTGTTTTCTATTGATGGTACTAAACTCAAACGCCCCTGTTTTTTGCAAGCATGGTCATGCTTGACTGCTGAGCCTGCGTGCTTGTAGCGGAACGGCTGTTTGTGGTTTTTCTGTGTAAAGCAGTGCTTTTCTGCTGGTTCAGTTCAGTTTTGTGCGCTTGAGGAACATTCGTTCGTAACCACGGAAACACTGCAGCGTTTCTCTTCCCTCAGCCTTTTTTTTAACGACTGCCTCCATCTGATTCAATTTCTGCTTCGCACCGTGTGATTGGCTAGCTGGATGCACCACCCTAGGTCCAAAGTCCCACCCCATGATGCAGCGAGTTAATAGAGTACATGTTTGGATTTTTAATCTTTCATTTGATTGGCGCCGTCCTTTTATTCAGTGCGCCCTATATTGAAATAGACGCCCCTCTACCGAAAGTCTAGGTATGATTTTCATTTGCCTAAAGTCTAGTGTATAATAATTTTGTAGATTTCTCGTGAAACAATAAATACTCGTAGCAATAGCAAACGTTCGTGTGTTCTCCGCCCTCCATTCTTAATTGTTTAGTTTAACTTTATCTTAGCCAAACTTTTCTAGTTTTGACACAGTTTTTTCAAAAAATTATGAACTTCAAGTTCAAATAAACGTAGTATCAAAACATATTTCTTGAAGAAATTAATAAAACTAATTTTAAGTGGATAATTTAATAAAACTAATTTGTTTTTGATATAGTAAATGTTAGACAGTATTTCTATAAACTAGATCAAAGTTAGAATAATTTAACTTAGGGTCGTTCGTTTGGATCTCTTCATTTTGGAGGAATTGAAATATACATAATGGATTAGGCTATTTGGCTTAAAATTTGATATTCCATAACATTCTCAAGCTCACAAATAAGCATATCTTAAATTCATAGGGTGAGAGATGGAAATAGATTATATAGATCACTATACTATAATTCTATTCTCCAACTTATATCACACTCTCCAACTCACTTTCCTACAATAGACATGCAACATATAAGTATGTCTCTCGTATGCCTAACAATAAATATACAAATATATTCTATATATAATTATATTAGCTTAATTAATCTATGACTAAATTGTAATTATTAAAATAAATTCAATTCCAAGGATCCAAATGGACCCTTAGAAAAAAAAACTAAAGTGTGCTATAATTTGAAAACAAGTAGTAATAGCGATGTATGGAACCTAAAAGTTCGTCATTCATTGGAGTCTTTTTATAATTACATGTAGGCAATAGAAGACACTACATTTCTACGTTTAAATTGTGCAATGTTATCTTGTAACCTAAGTAAAGAATTATTACGATCATTCTTCCTTTTTCATTCCATGATAACACTATCTATAGTACCAAAATTATATCTTCTAGACCAAATTGCCCCTCCTATATAGTCCGAGCATATCTTCTACGTTGCAAGTTGCAAGAGGCCCTTCGTCCTTTCACTCAATCTTATGACAAAAATCAAATTGGATATGACTTCTTAGTCGCTTGTCGATCTCCTCCTTTTGCTCCTGGTTCGACGTCTCGAAATTCTTGAAGCCTCGGGTTGAGGCTTCACCTTTCTCGAAAACTTGCTCTTGCATGATCACTCGGCTTTGCTTAGGCGGTTCTTTGGGCTCTTCCAAGTACACCTCTGAAACCACCTTTGGGATCCTCCAAATATGCCTTTGCAATGTCTTTTCAGGTAATTTTGTCGGTCCAAAATGATGCCATTCTACAGTTCCTTTGAGATGATGTCATGGATGATTCTAGTGTTGGCTACAAAACATCATCTTCGAAACCTATCAAGCGTGGAGTTCGCATTCAAGGGCCCCGCATGGTGCTATGAATTCCCAATAGTAGCCCCTCGTGGATGACTCATTTTCGTTTTTACGAAGTGAGTCTGTGAAATCATGCATCAAAAGATGTATAGCTTGTAATGCCCTTCCCCGTTGTTTGCGAAAGGAGGGAAGACTGTAGATTTAAACTATGAGTTAATTGTAGTGAAGTTGTCTCTGTTTTATTTTAGGGTTGACGATTATTTTTTATGCATGTGCTAGGGGCATTCCCCTAGGCTCTACCATGGGGTCTATATAAGCCGCGGTCGGTTGCTTTCTCATTATGCTTTGACTATGTAAATTGCTGGTGCTCTTGTTTTTGAATCTCGTTGCTGCAACTCGTTCGCGAGCATCGAATTTCTATAAATTTGACAAAGATAGGCATTATTGCCCTCATCTTTGGTATTTTACTAATTGTGCTTTTATTAATTTTTGTGTCAGTGTGTAGGGTCATTTGGCTCCTATGGTTTATCGTCTCAAGAAACGTCTGGACTAGAATGAAGAGTGCAGATATGTGTTGAAAAGTCCTTGTTTGGTTTTGGTAATTAAGTGACAACCTAGGTGGACTAATATGTTTAAATGTGAGATACACAGATGATTAGTCCGCAGGTACATGTGTGTGAGCAACATATGCCATGGAGGTGAAAATGGCTCAGAGATGTTGCAAAGCTCACACATGCGATGAAGGAACTCATTGCATATGAGACATGATATTGAGTCATGTGACCAAGGTGGAGAAGATCAAGACAAGGCTTGACTTGATGGACCGGTTGCAAATATGAAGGGCAAGTTTAACGATGGCAACTGGTCAGGTTCGGGGCGGGTGGAGCATCTGCGGACCCACACCCGAAACCCGAGAAGGAAACCCGAACCTGCCCCGAACCCTGTTTCGGGGGAAGATCAGCCCTCGCCCCCGAACCCAACGGGGACCCAAGACCCGAGAAATTTACAGCAGGATGGGGTTGAGGTGCGAGTCGTGGATACGAAACGAGGTTGCGAGTCACGGCGGGTGACGCATCGGCGACGACGCAGCTTTAGTGTGAAAGCGAGGTGGAAGAAGTGCGGGCCCGTGGTGCACCGGTGTCGCTTGCCGTGGTGCACCGGTGCCGCCTAGGTAGCCTGCCGCGGGGTGCTGGGCCGCTGGCGTCGCCCTGGCCGCCTGCAGCGATTCCGCTCAAGGGGAGGCACAACGGAGGCAGAGCGGAGGGCAGCAACGAAGCGACGGAAGGCAGGGCAGGGGTGGAGCAGAGCCGCGCTCGCAGTCTCGCAGACACAGGGGAGCAGAGACACGGAGTCACAGACGTAGGGGGGCGAAGACGTGGAGTCGTGGACGCAGGGGATGGAGACGCAGAGTCACAGGTGCGGCTGCTGTGGGAGTGCGGAAAGAAGTCGATTGCTAGGGTTACAGGTTAGTTGGGCCAGCTTTGGTGGGCTTTTTTAGTAGACTGCTTAAAACTTTAGGTCCCCAATGGCCACCCGCAGGGGAGACTACAAAGCCGACCTCGACCCACCCCGTTTCGAGTCCCCGAACTCAAAAACCCGTGGGCAAAATTTGGACCCGCCCCCGCCCCCATCGGGTGCAAAACCCACGGGTTTCGGGTCTAAACCCAACCCATTGCCATCCTTAGGCAAGTTGAGTGATGACTTGGTGTGGATGGACTGAAGCAACGGTGAAGAGCAAGTGAGGTCAAGATCGATGAACCAACAAAGGTCACGTGATGATATGAAGTGGATCATACCATTTGTGATAGGGTTGGTGCATGTGTTGTATCAACACCGAAGGAGATAAAATGGAATACGCAAGGCAAAGGTATATTTATAGGGCATTTTATTTCACCGGTCATAGGTATTTAGAGAAGTTTATGGCCAGGTTTATGATAGATGGCAGTACTATTAAGAGGGACAAACTTATTTGCATATCAGTCATCTAGTGCCACTTGAGCGATCTAACTCTGCATACGTGTTAGGATCGAGTGGCGTGGTGAAATAAGTGACTAATCCTTTGAAAAATATTTGTGAAAATACTAACATGCGTGCACAAGTTGGTGAACACTTGGTGGTGTTGGCACTTTTGCAAAAGAAGGCGAAGAAAAGAAAGTAGGAAGAAGGTCACTGGGTGATCGGACGCGGTCCTCGGGGAGACTGGACGTGTCCGGTGCTATACCCTAGCCTCGGGCAGAGTGGACGGAATGATCGAACTCTGGCTCGAGGAGTGACTAGACACTAGGGGAACATTGTTCCTACTTCTGGTCATGGTGACGTGGCACGCTGGCGCTGGCTGTGGAGGATCGGACTCTGCCGTGTGTCCGGTCTTTGGTGCCCTGATGCATCTGGTCATCCCCAAACCCTCTCAGTGTGGTTTTGGGCTATGACCGGACCCTAGCAGGGGCGCATCTGATCATAACGTGGTGGTGCATTCGGTCTCGCTGTTGCGCGACGTTTGGCGTGAGAGTAACGACCGAACCCAGGGCCAGTGTGTCCTATCTCAGCGTAGAGGCACGTCCGATCATCAGTTGAGGGCACATGGGTGAGATAGCCATTGGGCGACAATGGCTCTCTTCAAACTGCGTGGATACGTGGCAGCATCAGTGCGACCGGACGTAGGGACCGACGCGTTCGGTCACTTGGACCTGCGCGTCCGGTCGCTACGAGTTTTGCCCAGTGAAGGGGCAACGGCTCTATTTGGCCTTTGGGTTATAAATAGAAGTGGTGGCCGGTCTTGGGCTGGTAGCTAAGCACCCAAGAGCCCTGGTGGCTTGTGTTGCTGTGTTTGGGAGCCCTCCATCTCACATATGCTTGATAGTGTTCATCCGATTGTGTGAGAGAGCGATTCTAGTGCGATTACATCGTGAGGTTGCATTGAGTGTCATTAGGTGTTCGAGTTGCAAGCCGGTGCTGCTTGTTACTCTTGGAGGTTGTCACCTCCTAGA